CTATTCATTGATCGGAAAAAAGTGAGTTTAATAGAAAAGATCAGAAATGAGCTAAAAAGCTAAGTATAAGCAGTGAATACCATAAGACAATACTTAAGATAACGCTTATGTATGCGTTATAATGAACTACTGGTGACATATTGAAAGACATGCCATTCATCGAGTCTTCAGATAACAAAAGTGATGAATTGTATCCATTCGTGTCAATCGGAGCACACTTTTAGGTAATAGGATTTGTTAAATAAATAATTAATTATTGGTTGTATTTTACAATTGAAAGCATATGTGATTTTTAACCACAATTCAGATATAAATCCTCTCCCTCACCCTCTATGGGATTTAACATGGGACCCCAGCTTAAATCTATGGCTACACTTTAACATGGGGCTAATGTTATCCTATGGGCAATGGAACTTATCCTATGGACAATTTTAAGTTTATGGGTAATGCTGAGTCTATGGTAATTCTAATCTAGTTGTTTATAATACTGTATAAAAATTAGTAAATTAATAATTATAAAAATGAGATAACAAATACTTACAATCCTTGAAAATATTGGATGAGATGACAACTGTTCAATAGTTGTTTTAATGGGAACCAACTTTCCGTCCTATTTGTAAAAATAGTTCCAATTTAAACTTCATTAAAAATAATGATCTATAAATGTATAGGTATTAATACCTTTGAATTAAATGAATCTATCTCAATCCTATAAAATTGCATTTTATCATAATTAGTGAGATATAGGATTGGATTATCGACGCCGTTGTGTTCATAATAGGCGCTATCGATGTTTGTCTCGACATTCAATTCCGTTAACTTTCGTTTGTTGTAAACAATTAACTGTTCCCTCGATTTCGGACACGACTCTTGAAATTCAATACCAGAATAGTATTGGCCTAAAAATAGTTACAAACAATTAACTGCTTTTTGCAGATAATTAGTGAACAAATTGAATGTGAAGTCTATCGCCATAACAACAATACCCTGAATGAAGAAAATCTCTCCGACATTGTCTGTACTGAAGACGGCATCAATTGGTTGGGAATAATCGATATTAATATTGGAAAGTATGATATCATTGTTGAATGGCTTAATGTTGGACCAAAGTTTTGTTTGGTCTTCAGTGAAAAGTGAGCTTATGTTCAGTGATATGTAATTCAATGTCCCAGAAGTGTACTAATAATCAATTAGTAAAGAAAATGTTTATTAATTTATAAGTTTATCTAGTATTTTATTAATGACTAAATCAAGAATATTATGACAAAACCAGAAAATAAAGTCATCAAAAACAATGTATAACTTATATTATGATAAATCACTAGTTAATACATCATAAATATTTATCGTCTTATTAATATTTATTAAAACATTAAGCTATTTATTGAATTCTGTGAATAAATAAATATATAAATAATAATCAAATGATAAACTAATGCTTACTTTAGTGAATGCAATGCTGTGCTCGTTATGCAAATCGTCGTCGCAATCGTTAATATCTTTAATGACCGCAGAATCGCAACAATTGGCCAAATGAGGCACTTTTCCCGACGGCTGAAACTCTTTGACATCATCTCGTTTGACGTCCTCTTCGCTGATCACATAATAATAACCATTTGATGTCAGAATAAATGCAATGCCTTTGTAGTAGAGATAAGATATTGAATCTACTTTTGACATAACATTACACGAAAGCACTTTAAATGGAAATAAATCGCCAATAAATATGTTGACAAAAAGGAAACACAAAAAATATTTAGTTTTCATTTTTATTTGATTTAAAAGTCATAAACTGTTTGCGAGAACGAAGACAAAGAGGAATGTGCTTATGATTAGCGAAAGAGTGAGAGTGAAAATCGCGTGATTATCGCACAATACGGTTAGGGAAAGTGGCCTAACATTGCAGATGACAATGAACTTGGATTTAAAATCAATGAGATTTTTTTGTGCGTTAGCTTTAGGTATCGGTTAGACAACTGTGCTATCAATTGAAGTTTTGTTGCAATTGTTTGCAAAAGTGGCCTAACATTGCAGATGACAATGAACTTGGATTTAAAATCAATGAGATTTTTTTGTGCGTTAGCTTTAGGTATCGGTTAGACAACTGTGCTATCAATTGAAGTTTTGTTGCAATTGTTTGCGATAACTGTGATATACTGTACACTCAATGAGTATACAATATATTAAGGATTTTCTTTTATTAAAATCGGAAATTGTTTATTAAATGAATTAAGTGTTTAAAGTAATTAAATGATTGATATTTGTGGCAACGATTTGGTACAACACTAACCGATATCCGAAAACTTGAGTTCAATTTTGAACCTCGAGTTCATTATTCTCTTAACTATATATTCAATTCTGTGACCGTTTGAGATATTTTTGGGATATATTTCGCGCATCCGATCGATAAGTATATGAATCCGAAAGTGAATGTAAAATACTTGGCTTTTATTACAGATGAGGTGTTGCTATGTCTTAGGGTTATGTCATTCCCCGTTATGTTTGCACAGAAAGTGTTATATTTGATTGTGAAATACAATTACTGTTAGGTTTGCATAATTTTCTGGAACCGATCGATAATTTTATAAGTATTAATATTTTTCGTGTCAAATATACTGTCACGACATGTTTGGCAGACTATAATTGTGTCAAAGTCTATGTTTTTAACACTTTGTTTACACATTAATTTCATGGGCTGTGGTGTCGATATTAATAAGTATTAATATTTTTCGTGTCAAATATACTGTCACGACATGTTTGGCAGACTATAATTGTGTCAAAGTCTATGTTTTTAACACTTTGTTTACACATTAATTTCATGGGCTGTGGTGTCGATATTGAGAGCAACACATTATTAGTTCATAACATTTGCTAAAACTTATAGAAGAATATCTTTTTGTTTTTATATTACTTTATATATTATATATTTAGAAAGATTTTGCCACACAATCACTTCTACAATATTTTGACTACATTTTGTTGCTAATTACTAAAACTGTAACTTTAACTAATATTTATAATGAGTTTTTGTCATAGTTTCGTATGTTAGTCTGTAAATAAATTATAAAATAAAATAAAATAAGAAGAAAATTTATGTTACTAAAGAAATAAAAATTGAAATAAATTTGAATTTTTTATTTTATTTGGAAATAAATTATTAATAAATAAAACTAGAATTAATTCAAAATTATCATTCAATTCTTATTTGTGTTTCGGTTGTAGATCTGAAAATATCTGAAAAGTGATAATAAAATTAAATATTAATTTTAAGCATTAATACAAAAATAACATTATGTAAAACTTTGTTAATTATAATCATTAATTATAGCAATTCTTACCTCATTTATAATGACCCAAAATATCCATTAAATTAAGTAATAATAACAATAATCAGACGAATAAATAGTTATAGAGTTTGGCGTTGAGAAACAAAAAGGACAGTTAGGATAAACCCATTGGCACTGGCATTACATATGCAATTCCCTATACGGGGCCCAAATCGGGAATTTTCGATTCCAGTTCGTAGACTACAATATTAACGCAACTAAAGGTCGTTTCAAACAACCAAATTATTTCAACACGACCGACTAAAGCACTACAAAAGAGCACAAGTTTAGGTAAAGAGCGTCAAAGGTTAGGTTTTCGTAGTTGTTTTGTCTCCCATTTCTCCATTTGGTGTTATGGCGAAGACTCGTCGCTTCTCTCAGATACCAGTCGTTCTCGTATTCATAAAAGCCAACCATTGTATCGGAATATGAATTCTTTTTGAATTGTTCTAGATTTTAGTTTTCAAACAAATATGATAATTTTTAGCCAAATTTTAGTATCAAAAACACTAATGAATAAGAGATGCGATACAAAGACGAGTGAGATTTTGAAAGACGAGCACAGAGTTTGAAGTTTTGCTTTTTATAGACTTCACTGGTTTTTGTGTTATACTTCTGTCACTGAATATTCTCTCGTAAACAGTTTGTAAAGACAAACGTCAAAGAATTTCGTAGAATTTTTGGCACACATTCCGAGATCTAAATAATTTAAAAGTTATTTTTACCATAAGATATGGTTATCAAAGCCCTACGATATAACCTTCAAAACTATAGTTTAATGTTTGAGTCAAAGAATTTCGTAGAATTTTTGGCACACATTCCGAGATCTAAATAATTTAAAAGTTATTTTTACCATAAGATATGGTTATCAAAGCCCTACGATATAACCTTCAAAACTATAGTTTAATGTTTGTGTGTTATATGTTTTGTTAAACTTTTAGATATTTTTTTGTTATCTCATTATTTGTTTCACAACATAATTATTTTTGTTACTTTTTAAGACAATATTTAAGGTTAATTATTATTTGTCTAATAAAGTTTAGAGATTTAGTATTAATAATTTTAGGTTAAAGTTAAGAATATTGGATTAATAATTTAAAATAAATAATAAAAATAATCAGGCAATCAATTCAATATTCAGGCATTAATTAAAACTTTTATTTAATATTTAATTACTTTCAAGTGAATTTTTAAATATAAATATATAGTTTACACATAAAATAATTGAATAAAATAATAATTATAAAATAATGATAAAACATGCTAAGAAATTGGCACTTTATGTAATATGGCAAATATATATGAATCACTTAATGTCTTAATATTAATTAAAATTAATATAACTTACAATAACACTGTTAACTAATACTGTTAAATATACAGTGTGTCTCGTGTCTCAAATAAAATATAAAAATACTGGCATTAAAACCATTGATTACAACAACAATTTTGTTTGTCAAACATAAATGCAAAGGAATATTCTTCAAAGACAGTTATTTTGTCATCAAATTATATATCATAACATTAATACTTGTAATTATAACGTAGTAATCTAACTGCCAATTAAATAATTATAATATAAAGTGATAATTAAAACAGCGAAAACTTTCCATTAGATCACATGCTTTTGCATTTTTTCTACAACTAATAAGTATTACTTTTTTCCTTGAGAT